ACTAAAAAATAGGTAAGAGTATATTAGCATTCTATATATATATATATATATATATAACAGTTTAAGATCCTATTTTCAAAGCAATATTTTTTTAATTTACATAAATAAAGAAATAAGATTTAGATAATTAAAATATAAAAAAAAGTATTATAAAAAATAAATTAATCAATAATAATTAATGAATTGGTAATTTGATATTTCTATTTCTCAATAAAAATTTACTTATAATTTTAGAAAAATAAATCAGGATGTTAAATATCAAAAGAAAAACGTGTCATATAATATAATATATTATCAACTTATTTCTTTTAATTTTTTTAATCCTATATTTTTTTATTAAAATATAGAATATCTTAATTCTCTTTATTATTTTAATAGAGTTTTCGTATATTTTTCTAGAATCTTAATATCAAATTGAAAACATTTATTTCTTAGTCATTACAAATTTTTTTAGTAACATGTCACAATTAGATAGTATTGTTTCATAATTTCATTGTAATTTATTCATTAAAAACTCATAATCTGAATCATGGATTATAATTTAATTTTTTGTTTGTAGTTATAATTGTTTTGATTTGAATGTGTTACATAGAAAATAACCTTTTTATCATCTAAAATAAATATAAAAAATAAGCAAATTGATGTTCATATTGATTTTCAAAACAATGCTCTTGATGATTTTTTTTAATTAAATACCTTATAATTTTTCTTCAAAATGATATAAATCTAATTAATCTAAGCTCTAAAACTAAAAATTATAAAAATGAAAAATTATATAAAAATAATGAAGAGTATGATATTTTAATAAAAAATAGTGAAAATAAATATAATTATTATGATAAAATTAAATATTTTAATAATAAAAATTAACACATTTACACTAAACAACTTAATCAGTATAATTTATTAGATATTTACGATCTAATAACTTTAAAATAATCTTAAAAATAATTTACAAGATAAATTACTAAAAAATAATATTAAATAAAATATGTCTATTATAAATGATCTTAAAAATATTTTTGATATTTTAATAATTTTGCAATAAAAATATAACAACAATAGTTAAATAATCGAGGATATTTTTTTTCATTCATTCAGAACCTTAAAAAACTCAGTGTACACCATAGGTGCATCACTATCCAATCCATGCTGCTACAATATAGAAAAATGCATAAATTTTTTCGTGTAGGTTTCGTGAGAAGAAATTGAATCAGTCAAATGGTGAAGGAGGAGACGTATACTGATCAGAAGCGCGTTGTTGGCACTTCCCATAGAATGTTCAATGCCTTCCCTTTCTATATATATAAGCACCACTCGTGTCTCCCTTATCTCACAAATTCACGTACGACTAATTCTCTTGGTCTTAATTTAATGTGCCTTGATAGCTAATTTTCTTGGTCATACACTCATATCAAAGTACATATATCTCTTGTTCGATCATTATTCATTAATATATATAATGAACTCATCTGCAACCTTAAGAATGGTCGATGAGCAACCCCACTTGAACGATGACTATTACGTTCCCGCCATTCCTCCGGCAAAGCAACCTCGCTACCGCCCTCACCGCACCACCTGTTCCTACCATTTCCACATCGTTCTCAATCTTCTGATTGCACGATTATTTTCGTTTTAATGCAATCATTTTTATTTTTATGAATTACTTTTTGTTTTTAAGTTTAGGTCTACAGTTTACTTACAATGCAAATCTGATACGTTCTTCATGTATAATATTTTTAAACTTGCTCAAGATTCTTAGATTTAATATATATATCCTCATAAATAAATAAATAAATAATCTATATCCTCTCTCAACAAGGAGAAAGAATGACACATGGTTCGGGTAGGATTCATCCAACAAGTGGGTCTCGCTTACATCATGTATCTTTCTCTCTCCTTACTGGGCCATCCCTAGAGAATTAAGAATACCTTCAAAATTTAGTCAAGATTTGATAACTTAGCCTACGATAGATTACATTACTGATATATTACTGCTACGTGGCTTAATTAAAAGAATCCATGTAATAAATAAATTAAACGCAAATCTACAGACTCAAATGAAAGGATTTGTAAGATTTGAGCAATAAAAGAGGATTCCTATAATTGTGCTAACCCTTTTACCAGAGTAAACGGGTTATAGAGCAAATTGAAAACACGTTTGGCAAACAAAAAATTATATTAAAGACATTTTTATAATATTAAGATAAATATTTTACAAAGGTTGCCTTAAAATTAGTGTAAAATATTTTCTATATATTAATTCTAAAATCTTGTAAAAAAAACAATTTTCAAATAATTAATGTAGAATGTATTTATCTTCTCGTCTCTTCATTTAAAGAATTAAACATATATAAATAATTAATATGTTGAACTCAAGGTTAAATTATTTAAATAATGTTTGAATTCAATTCTTGATAGAAATAATTATTAATTAAACTTTATTGATTAAATAAAATTAATTTAAAATAAAACCTTAAAACACATGTACAAGACAGAAAAAAATCCCCTCGGCTCCTCGCAAGTTAAAATCTTTTTTTACAAACCTTCTATTCATTGATTGTATAGAGGATCAATCTAAAAAATATATTTTTTAAATCGATTTTTCATATAATTGATGTAAAATGTATACTACTTTTGTAAAGCTTTTCAAATTATTAATAAGATCTTATAACTCAGTTGCATTCAAAATTGAACTAAAAGGACCTTTACATCGACTATTAATATAATTCTTTATCTAGAAAAATTCATTATAAATTTTCACTAATGTGTTCTATTTTTGTTCTTAATTACTTCAATTATTAAACATTCGTATCCATCTGGTTCCAAGACGCTTCAAGGAAAGTATAATCAAATTAACATATAGCTAGCCCTCAACAACCTTGTTCGTTTCTCTTATATAAGTATGAAAACCCTCCAGGGTTCACAGACTACCCTCTGGAGTATGGCTTACGCTTAGCAGAAGAAGCCTCGTTTAGCGCGTATACCCATTTAGCAGTTTTCCTCCTTCAAAATAGATTGATGGCATACCATTCCAGCAGAGTAAATCAAACAAGCACTTTGGTCTATAACAAGAATACATTTCAATTCCCTCTTTCAAACAATCAAAACTTTAATTACCAAACTGTCTGCCAAGCCAAATCATTAATTTTTTTCTCTCAAATACAATAAAAAATAATTGTCTAATATAATATTTGTTAAATAAATTTATATATATATTTATAATGACACTTTTTTCACATATTATTGTGTGTAATATTTTTTTGTAATAATAAAAGAAAAATTATCATAAGAAAATTAAACAATTATATCTCTCTATGGAGTAGATGAGATAATCTCCAAAATAGAAATTGAAAGTAAATAGAGAGACGAAGAGGCCACACAAGACTAGTATATCAGTAAAGAAAATTCCCTTGAAAAATAGAAGTTCCCTTAAAATGACAATGCGCGTGCATTAATTTTTGTGCAGATATATTCTCATAAAAATAAGTTTAAGCAACAAAAACAACTTATTGATAAAATATAGCGAAATACATTATCATTTTGGTGCAGATATATTCGCACAAATTTTACATATTATTTATATTATACATAGAGAGAGAGAAAAAAAAAAGAATAAAAGAATAAAATTTATTTATTTTAAAGATAAATTTATTTAAACTTATTTCACTCAATAATTTGTATTTTACATTAAATTTTAGTGATTCAATCATTAAATTAAAAAATTTTAATGTATAAATAAAGTTTGTAAAATTTTAAAAAATATTTGATATTCTGTTGCATTAATTTAAATTAATTAATATCCATAAAAATATTTATAAGTTGATTTAAATTAATAAAATAAAATATTAAATAATTTATAAGTTTTTTTAAATTTTACAAACATGATCTGTGGATTAAAATTTTTTATTGTTATTATTAAGTTCTAAGTTAGAGTACGTACTTGAATTGAAGTATTTATAAATTGTTCACGCCCACGTAATGAAAAGATCAAGGGTCGAAGTTTTGGATAAGTATCAGCATCACAACCATTAAATAAAGGGAGTTGCCACAGTACTCTTGAAAATTAAGGAATTTTCAGTATATTTTTGTAAATATAAAAGATTTAAAAAAATTAATTTAATTATAAAGTGAATAATTCAAATTATATTTATAAAATAAAAAATAAGATAAAATTATAAAATTCCAATAACATTAAAAAACATTAAAAAAAAGAATTAATAAATAACAGAAATAAAAAAATAATTAAAAGTAAAATATAAAAATTCAAAATTTTAAGATAAAAAGACAAAAATATACTTAAAAAGTTATTAAAATTAAACTATTTAAATATATAATATTATTATTAGAAAGAAAATTAGAACATAAAAAATAAAAATAAAATAACTAAATAATTTAAAAAATGAAAGAATAAAATATAATAAATATTATATAAATAAATTAATAAAAATACAAAATAAAATTATAATTGCAACTCTACATCTACCTGTACGCTTTCAAATAATAAAGGTAGCATATAATTTCTCTTTAAATAAAAGGTGGCTAAAATTAAAAATGCGTTACTTCCGTACGAATGTTTCTTGGTGGTTGTTGCAGTCAATCTACATGAAACAAACGGTCAATAGACTCAATACAATCCGCCGCTGTTGTTCGATTCCTTTCGTTAAAAGAAATTGAATAGGCAAATGCCCAACGCGGACACGTACTCACAACCGTGTTCTTCCCATAGAATCTTCAATGCCTTTCCTTTATATATACGCACCAATCCCTTCTCCCATATCTCACAATTCACCACTCATTCTTTTCATCATATATTTTTCTCTTTATATTTTCTTTGTTACATCAAGCTACATATTTTCCATCAGTTCATTCATTCACTCATCTGCGTTTGCAAGCATGGTTGATAAGCAACCCCACTTGAACGGTGGCTATTACGGTCCCGCCATTCCCCCTGCGGAGCAACCACGCTACCGCCACAACCATGGAAGAAGCTGCTGTTGCTGCCTCTTCGGAATCTTCTGGAAGATTCTCGTTACCCTCATCGTCCTCGTTGGCCTCGCAATCCTCATCTTCTGGCTCGTGGTTCAACCCCGTTCCTTCAAGTTCTATGTAACGGAAGCAGAGCTAACTCAGTTTGAGTATGATACCAACAACAACACCCTTCACTACAACATGGTGCTCAACTTCACCGCACGCAACCCCAACAAGAAGCTCAGCATATACTACGACAAAGTAGAGGCATTAGCGTTCTACGAGGACACCAGGTTCGCCAATTACGATGTCATAACGCACATCAACTCCTTCCGCCAATACAAGAAGAGCACCAAC